CAATCCCTAACTGTGATTCCAACCACCCGCCTAATGTTATTAAAACTCCAACGTACTGTTGAAATAAGATTATCTTTAACGTCATCAAATGAAGTTGTTTTTAATAATGCTACACCATCTTACAAAGAGGTTTTTAAAAAAGCTGGCTATAACTGTAAGCTTACATACCAACCCCAGGTTACATCACCTAAAAATAAAAATCGCAAGCGAAATATTATATGGTATAATCCTCCGTTTAGTCTAAATGTAGAAACAAAAAAAAGGAAATCGTTTATTAGCATTGGTTGATCTACATTTCCCTGTGAATCACAAAGTACGCAAAATATTCAATAGAAATTCGATCAAGGTTAGTTATAGCTGCATGCAAAATATTAAATCCATCATTAGTTCAACCACAAGATTTTACAAGGTAAAAGAAATATAACTACAAAAACATGCAACTGTATTACTAAAACTGCTTGTCCATTAAGTAACCAACTTTTAGTAAGTAATAGTTTACTAAGCCACTGTGAGTTCTGATGATCCAGATCCTAAGAAAAAAGTATATTTTGGTATCAGTGAGACACCATTCAAGCTCAGATACGCAAATTATTTAAATTCTTTTAATGCGATCAAATATAAAAATGATACTGAACTTTCAAAAGAAAGTTGGAGTTTAAAAGAAAAAGGTACAACACTTATTATAAAGTGGAAAATTATAAAACGCTGTGAAGCTTACAAACCAGAAACAAAAACCTGCAAACTTTGTCTTCATGAGAAATTAGAAGTTTTGTCTTTTAATGGAAACAACCTGCTTTATAAAAAAGAAGAAATATTATCTAAATGTCGACATTTAAATAAATTCCTGTTATCTTCGTTTGATTCTGGAGATTAAATGATTGCGCCTTTTCAAATTACGTCAGAACTCGTTCTACCGTAAAATTTTTAAACGTTAATTTACGTTTTTGATTTTTAATTTGTAATTAATAGCTGATGATTGCCGAAAGGCACGAAACTTTAAGTACTATTATAATGTTGTTTTTCTTCATTTAAATAAAATATATATACAAATATTGCTCTATTATCATAATATCGAGCACTGTTTTTCGTACAAGAGTTTTGTATTATTTTATATATACGTAAACAATCAATATATATATATATATATATTATATATATATATATATATATATATATATATATATATATATATATATATATATATATATATATATATATATATATATATATTACATCAATAAACGTCAAATATATATATATATATATATATATATATATATATATATATATATATATATATATATATATATATATATATATATATATATATATATATGTACACTGCTTCCAGAAAGTATTAGCGCACTCCTAATTTTTTTTATTACAGACAACTTCAAATCAAATTAAATTGTAAAGTAATTTTAATTACGAACTATTTTTTTTTAAATGAATATAAGAAGCTTAAGTTTAAATTTTAAATTTTGAACAACAAAAATATGGGCTTAAAGAGCATATCAATTGAAACAAAGTGGCAAGTTGTTGGCCTGCACATAAGTGGTCTCAGCAATCGAGAAATCGGACGTCAACTTAAAATCTGTGAAGCGTTAGAATAACGCTAAAAAACCATAATGAGTTTGGAGCAGTTGAAGACAAAAGTGGCTCTGGTCGTCCCAAAAAAATGTCAAAAAGGGACAAAAATAAAGCAATTATGCTTGCTAGACGCAACCCGAACATGAGTATAGCTGAAATCGCCTCAGACTTGAATACAGCGATGGGTACACATCAAGTTAGCCGATCAACAATTAGCAAACTGATGAAGAAAAAACAACTCAATTCATACCTTGAAACAAAGAAGCCACTACTAAACATCGAAGACCGTCTCAAGCAAAGAAAATGGTGCAAAGAGAGAGCTGCATGGACTGTAGAACAAAGGAGTATTTTCTCAGACAAGTCAAATTTGAGTTGTCTGAGAAAATACTCCATTGTTCTACAGTGAAAGTATTTTCTCAGACATACTTTCATTGTTCTACAATGAAAATATTTTCTCAGACAAGTCAAATTTTGAACTTATTAATTGCAAAAAAAGAGTTGTCGTGAGTAGATACAAAAACGAAAAATATAATCCTCGTTTTATCATGTCAAGAGTTCAACAAGGAGGAGGTTCAGTTGGCATTTGGGGCAGCATTGCTGGATCTAGCAATGGCCTGGCGTATCTTTACACTGATTGCATTAATCAACATCGATATAGAGAAATATTAGAAGATTATTTAAAGCCATCAATGGACATTTTCAAAGCTGACCTCCACCTAGCAATTTCAACAAGATAACGCTCCTTGCCACACAGCACGCTTAATTAAGCAATACATGAATGAAAAACGGTTGAATCTGATGCCTTGGTCCGCTTGCTCACCTGATTTGAATCCTATTGAGAATCTTTGGAGTTGGATGGACTGTAAATTACAAAAAAGCAGGCCCACTAACTTGGTGCGGCTCAAAACGCAAATGCAAGCGTTGTGGAATACCGTGCCACAAGAACTAATAAAAAAACTTAAAGATTCTATGCCGCATTGAGTCTTGGCATGCCTTAAAAACAAAGGTGGTCATATAAAATATTAAACTTTCCTAAAATCTTTGAAAAACTGTAAGTGCGCTAATACTTTTGCACACTTTTTTATAATTGTTTTTATCACTCTTATATGCATTATTTTATGAATTAGTTAAAAAAAAAATTATCAATCAGCCTTTTATTGTTTTCGAATAACAATCCTTTAAAGTTCTCTGAGGTAAAAAAAATATGAGTGCGCTAATACTTTCTGGAAGCACTGTATATATATATATATATATATATATATATATATATATATATATATATATATATATATATATATATATATACATATATATATATATATATATATATATATATATATATATATATATATATATATATATATATATATATATATATATATATATATATTACGTCAATTAACGTCGAATAAAACTGCAATATCGTTTGTTTTTTTTAAATTTAAAAATATTTTCAAAATCAAATCAAATCAAATATATTCTGAATGTAGTTATTATATCAAGGATATTTACTAATAGTAATTCGTATTAATATAAAGTAAACACCTGTCAGACAAAATAAAAATAAGATTGAGATAATAATAATAATTATAATACAAGTAGGAATAACAAAGTAATAGTAGTGATTATAGTGATAAAAAATAATAGTAGCAATTATAAAAGTATATACTCTAATAATAATAATAATACAGTAGAATTTCGTTAACTTGGACTCCGAAGGGGTATATATTTATTTTCCGACTTAGCGAATGTCCAAATTAAGCAAAGCTCTCGTTAAGTAGGACGTTTTGAAAATGTCCGACTTATTGAGATTTCGAGACTTAAATATATAATATTATAAGATATAAATGTTATGTACATATATATAGAACAATATAGTCTTATGTGAAATATATATTTTTGTATATATAATATATACTATAAACCAAAAAAGTCCAAAATTGATGTTTGTTTCAGTGACTCGCACCATTCTTTTTCAAACAGCTTTGAAGCATTCAAACCTACTCTTCCAATTTCACCATTATCAATTACTTTACGAACTTCTTCAGTCGTTGGCTTTGTCACCTTTTCATCCGACGTTTTATGCTTTATCCAAAAATTTATGTTACATGCTATATCCAAATCCTTCTTTATGGAGACACGCACAAGTTTTTTTATTTTTTCAAATTCTGGATAAATTGTATTTTTTTCTTTTGACCATCCAGACAATGTTTGCTTTAGAATGCCATATTTTTTTGATATAGATACAGATGATTCTCCTTTGTCGACTTCCTTAAGAATTTTGTATTTTTCTCTGTTATAGTTTTACCTGATAGCTTTCTATGAGCAACTTTCGTCATTTTTAGTAAATAAAACTTGAGCAAAGTATAACCGAATTGAAGGTATCAGTGAAAATGGGTTGTCGGTAAAATGCGAACTGCGAACCGTTAAAATGCGAACTTTTTTGCGAACCAAAACATTATATTTTAAAGACCATTATTGTTATGATAAAAATAATAATAAAAAAACTCTTAATTATCTATTTTAAATTCTTAATTATCTATTTTAAAGCTTTATTTAAAATAAATTTTTTATTTTTTAACTGTAAAACATATGTAGAGTAGACTGCTTCATTTTGAGGTCATGAAAAAATTTTAAGTACCATGGAGTGTTATCTGCTGCGTTGACCCTTATTTTATTAGTAGAATTTTTTTTTTTTTTAATTTTGACCACTTTTAGGGGTTGCTCAAATGCCTCAAAAGTCATATTTTAGGCTTTTTTACCCTTTTTTAAGCCCATTTTTCGCACGTTTGAGCAAGTACTAAAACTCAAAAAAATTGAATTTTTTTTTTTCTAGAGTTTTTTCTAAGTTAGAATAAAAAAATTAAAATGCATGGTAATTTTATTTTATTGAAATAATTTGTGTAAATTTATCTACAAAAACGCAAAGTTATGCAATTGTTGCGCTTCGCGTTAATTTAAAAATGTTGCGTATTTGCTTAAACATGTTATGCAAATTACTTAACAAAAACGATATTTAATTAAAATTTAAAAAATATAGATTACTCTTATGATATACTTACTCCATATACTAAATAAAGCTATTTACTACCGATTTAATCATGTCAGGGAAAAGTAAGAAAAAAGTTGACACACATTTTTTGGTAAGGGAATCCAGGTCATCCTTACCAAAAGACAAGTTTGCTACAAAGCAAGAGGTTTTGCAATACTTCTTGCATTTGAAGGAGAAGTACCCAAAACAAAAAGAAAGTAGAATTATCCACTGTCCATTGACAAAAAACTTTGAAATCAGCTGCCATAATGAAAAACATATTTGCTGCACTCTTTCAAAGTTAATTACACCTTGGTTGAAGGGTGGATTTCACATTTTACAATTACAGACAATTAGGTAGGTACCAAACTGTATATGTTTTTTTATTTATATATTATTACTTATTAGCGGAAAATATTAATATAACTAATGTCTGCTGTTAAATAAGTTAATTAACAGAAATAGGTGTGTTGTAAAATATACCGAACCTATAAATCACATTTTTTAGTATAAAGATAGAGAAGCTGATCCAAACCTGGAAACTGTTAAAAAAAACAAAGCAAGACAAACTTTATCAGAGATTGAAAAAAGGATTAGGTTTTTAACTCAGATGAAAAGTATCTTTTGGATTGCACCTGAGCTTGATACTCTGGTTGCAATTATTAAAGCTGATAGGAAACGAAAGGATCAAGACAAGACTGAAGATATTGCATTTTTATTAGACCAATTAGGAGATAGAAAAACTAGAATAGGTGGAATCGATACAAGGTACCTTTACTCTGTAAACAGGAGTTTATCCAAAATTAAAAGGAAATCAAATTTGCATGAAACCATGTCAGAGAGTGAATTCAGCTCAAATGGATCGGAGAAAGATGAAGGTAATGATGATTTTTCATACCCAGATCCAGAGTTAAAGAAAAAAGTCAAAAAAACTAATACTGTTATGCTTCCAAAAGATATTCTCAAGAGAACTGCTGATACTGCTGTTGGGGAAGGAATAAGTCATAGGCAGCATGCTTCCATGATTAATAGTATAATCGCGAAATCGGGTGGAAATGTAGTTGAATTTAAATCTTCAACCTCTACAGCATTACGCGCTGCAGATAAGGTCATTCATGATGAATCAAAGAGGATCAAGGATGATTTAAGAAGTTTAAGAAAAATCAATAAGAACATTTTAGTTCAACTCCATTTTGATGGAAAAGTATGTCATGAATATACTGATGGGAAAAAATTGGAACAAGATCGATTAGCAATATTAATAAACGCTAACAAAGAAACGCACCTGTTGGGAATTCCACCCATTTCTTCTGGAACTGGCAAAAATCAAAAAAATGCAATCAGAGATATCTTAAATAGCTTTAACCTTACAGACAATATACAAGCTGTAACATTTGATACTAGCAGAATCAACGCTGGAAAAAAAAATGGAGCTGTTTCTTTACTGGTAAATGAAGTCTTTCAACGACCAGTTCTATCTATTGCATGCCGACATCATGTCAATGAGCTACACATAACACATTTCTGGAAAAATTATCAAAGTAGCATTACTTCTGGACCAGATAATCTGCTTTTTAAAACTTTAAAATCAGCATGGAGTGATCTTGACGCAGACAACCAGGTAGGTTTTTACAAAATTAGCTACCATTTTGTGAAATAATATTTTTTCAAAATAATTTTCTTTTTCCAATTTTGAGTTCTTTGAATATTTTTTTTACGTTTTGAATAAATAAGGTTTTGAGAAGATTGACTATTCCAGAGGAAACATGGCTTGGTCATCAAAAGCATGAAAGCATAACGTTCTGCAGAAATATTATCGCCAGTGGGTCTCTAAAAAAGGTAGCCAATAACTAGATATCTGAATTTGTAGGTATCTATGTAGTATGTACTTTTATGTTGAAATTTTTTCATAAATTTTTCTTTTTTAATTCTATTATTCTTTATTATACTAAAATATAAATAGGTTTATTTTATTATACCTAAATACTAATTATTTTATTTCATTTTTAGGATGGGGCTACAAGGAAGGACTACATTGAGCTGGCAGAGCTTACACTTATGGTGCTTTCTGAAGACAGGTATAAATTTCGTACTCCCGGAGCAGTCCACCATGCCCGTTTTATGGCAAAAGGTAAGGAATTGTAGGTTCATGATAAAAAAAGGTTCAAGTTGCAAAAAAAAGGAATTTGTTTTACATTATCAAGTATGAGTCTTTTTAAAAAATTAAAAAAAAGACTTTTTTTTATAGCTATCTACTACCTAAAACTCCAACCTATGATGGATGCTATACCTAGTCTGGAAAAATGGCTGAAGCATGAAATTACTGAAGTGGCAACTTTTGTCTCTGTTTTTTATACTACCTGGTTTCTCAAAGCTGAACTATCTGCTGCTGCTCCGAATCAGGTAGGTACCAACTTAAAAAGTATGAAATATATATATATATATATATATATATATATATATATATATATATATATATATATATATATATATATATATATATATATATATATGTATATATATATATATATATATATATATATATATATATATATATATATATATGTATATATATATATATATATATATATATATATATATATATATATATATATATATATATATATATATATACATACAGGATATGAGAGCGCTTTGGCAAATGAATAGATTTAAGGAGTACAATTTGATTGGGGCAGAATCAGTCATTAAATCTATCAAACGCCACACATGGTTTCTGGACCCTTACCTTATTGTACTAGCTCTAGCTGATGAAAAATGTAAAGAAAGAGGTGATATTGCTCAAAAACTATACAGCTTTGAATTTCATAGTATGGATGAATATCCGTTAGCCCGAATAAGTGCTAACATAGAGGTCCTCAATTCTTTAGACTTCAGTGGACCGAAGCCTCCCAGCTTAGTTCATTTGGTCACAGAAAATTCGTGGCTATTGTTCCTTATGATAGGCCAAAGTAAAAGTGACTGTCAATGGATGAAAACCCCTCCAGAATATTGGACTTGCAACGATTTCTACTTAAAATTTCAGGAGACAGTTTTTAATCTTTCAGTTGTTAATGATTGCTCGGAAAGAATCGTTAAACTCATAAAAGACAAAATTGATATTGCCCGAAAAGAAGAGAAAAGACAGGATTCACTTTTATTTTTGCATAATTACAAAAGGAAGTATGGCGGAAAAACTAAGAAATCCAAGAAAAACAAAAAAATAAACAATATAAATATATAACATAACATTTTTAAAAAATAATTATAAATTTTATAGAAATTTAATTATAAAGAAATTTGTAAAACAAAATTGCTAGACGTTTTTTTCAATATAATTAGATTTTTTTCGTTTCATGTAGTTTAATGAAGTTTCTTGCAATATAATAAAGTTTATATAGACCTTTAATGCTATATATAGGTGTTTTATGCATCATAGTTAGGTTTTTTTTTCCAAATGGCTTAACATATACATAAAGATATTGCAATGCGTAATATTCGGTTAAAATCTGCATAACTTTGCGTTTTTGTAGATAAATTTACACAAATTATTTCAATAAAATAAAATTACCATGCATTTTAATTTTTTTATTCTAACTTAGAAAAAACTCTAGAAAAAAAAAAAATTCAATTTTTTTGAGTTTTAGTACTTGCTCAAACGTGCGAAAAATGGGCTTAAAAAAGGGTAAAAAAGCCTAAAATATGACTTTTGAGGCACTTGAGCAACCCCTAAAAGTGGTCTAAATTTAAAAAAAAAAAAATTCTACTAATAAAATAAGGGTCAACGCAGCAGATAACACTCCATGGTACTTAAAATTTTTTCATGACCTCAAAATGAAGCAGTCTAATGTAGAGTGTTGCTACATCGACTATCTTATAGCCTGACTCGCAATGGAGTGCTGCTACACCAGCTATCTTATAGCCTGACTCACAAAGGAGTGCTGCTTAATTGACTGAGGGTTTGGTTTGGGCAGGCAGTCTATCAAATAATTAAAAATATATATATATATATATATATATATATATATATATATATATATATATATATATATATATATATATATATATTGCATTTGTCTAGTTTCACTTAATTTTCTTTTATTTATTTTTAATTAATTTTTTCGCTTAAAAGTCCTTAAAATATACCGTTAAATGAACTATTTAACGGAAATAAAACATTACATCATTAACAACCAATAGGACGATGGTTCGCCTAAAAGTTCGTATTTAACCGGTTCGCAGTTCGCGGTTTGTGGTTGCGTTCTGCGTTCCCATTTTACCTAGTACTGTGAAAATGTTTAGTTCATTAACCCTTTCGCGATTGAACTAAAAACAGCTTCACATGACTGCGTGTAAAATAAAGAACTAGGATTATGATCAATTGAAAGAGTTAAAATAAAAACGACTAGTCTGAATTTGAAAAACAAGACCTTATTTTTTTTTGTCTAAAAATTGACTTTCAGAATATCCAAAAACTTAAAAAAAATATTATCTTAGTTACGTGATCAAAATATATTATGTTAAAATTAACAAAAAATATATAGTTTCTTTATGTAAACTTAATAATTAAACATATATGTAAACTTAATAATTAAACATATCATTTTTGATATTAAACTAATGAAGCCTTTCTAGTGCTGATCAAACAAAAAAAAATATCCACCACTATCATTGAAAAAAATATAAATGATTTTATTTATATCAATCTCACTGTTATTAAGGCGATTTACAAAATATTTGAATAATTTTATTCGGAATTAGCATGGTTTTGTCAGCATATTATGTCTAAACAAGATGTAATGTTATAATTTTTTTTTACTTTAAGGTTTTTAAAATATTTAAAGAAACTTTTCTTTTTTTTATATAATTTTCAAAACCTTTTTACTACCCGTAATAGTGAATCTAAAGAACACTATTCTGATCAATTCCGCTCATCGGCATTAACATGAATTTAGTTAAAATTTTTTGAAAAAGTTTCTTAATATACTACTGATCCTAGTTCTAATCGGCTCTGACGTATATTAACTATATATAATTGTCAAAACACCATATTTCTATCAATTTTCACAAAAAATACTAGAATTCCGACCAAGAAAGAGCTTATAATTATGGAAAATTACAATAAACGATCAGAACAGATCATATTCTTAAACTATAATCTTCATTTTACCTAAAAAACATATTATTATAAAATCTTATTCATATTTGAACGAGCGATTGTGATTTTAAGATAATTAAAAAAAAAAAAAAAGAATCTTCGGTCTGAGTTTTTTCGCTACAAACGTTTATATTTTATGATTCCGCAAAATTTATCATTTTAATACTTTTCGTCTTTTTATAATTCACAGACCAGACCATTTAACGGAAATATGTCGTAGTCAACTAAATATCATACAGACGCTATAATATTTTAAAAGTGCCTTAACTACACCGAGATATAATATAATCTGCTCTTCGTCATTTTTTAAAATTGATTTTTGAGCGATCTATAAATGCAATTAAAAAACGGTTTAAAGCATTAACTAAAGAAATTATTCGCAATTCAAAGATAATTTTAAAGTTTTTTCCAATTGCTATAGATGTTTTGAAATATTTAAAATTGTTTATGCACCGCCATGCGGGTCACTCGTCATTTAGATACAATTTTTATAAACCGCCATACGGGTCACGCGTCACGAAAGGGTTAAATTAAGTTTGACGCAAAGGTAATTAGTTTTCGAACGTTCTAAGTTTTGAATTTTAATAGATATTTTTAATTTTTTAATGTAATAGTTACTAACAAATTGAATTTAATCGAAGCTTAACTGAATCGAAAGATCCGTGAAAATGTTTAGCTATGTTTAATTATATTTGACGCAAAAGTATTTTATTTTCAAGCGTTTAAAGTTTGGAATTTTTATTGAAGTATTGGAAGTTTTGTCATTGTATGCACATATATGCAATTCAAAATAGAAGTCTTAGTTAAACGAAGTTTTTTGCCAAAGGGACCTCAAAAAACAGTACGAGTTAGCGAATGGTCCGACTTTACCAGGGTACGACTTAAGCGAATGATTTTACAGTAAGTTGATAGAGAATTTTCAAGGAAAATTAAATTTTCGTCCGACTTATTAAAAGTCCGACTTATCCATGGTCCGAGTTAATGGGATTCAGCTGCAATAGTAATAATAACAACAACTACTGAATACCACTACAAACTACACAATACCACTGTGAACAACTACAGAATACCACTGTTACTGATGATCTACCACTGTTCACTAAAGCGACCGTAAATCTTTGTTAAAATTAAAAAAAAAAAAAAAAATTTATTATTATTTTTTTTTTAGTTTCCCCAAGAAGTCCTTACGGCCTTATAACAGAGCACCGCGGAAGAGTATTTATTAGGAAGTTCACGCCTCATTCTCAACCAATGTCGCAGAACTTGCCCAGAAGTGGGGTTTGAACCATGGATCTTTAAAATTCTTTATATTATATTTCTTAATTCTATATTCTATAATTGAAAACTGTTTTTATATAACTTTACACTTTTTTTTTGGTTTTCAATTTTTTCTTGAGTTTATTTATTATTGGAGTTCATTATCTTTATTTTTTCAACTTGAATTATGTTTAATGATATTGTTTATGATGTTTAATGACTTATGAATATATATTATTTATGGATTATTAGAAGCTTGGCGAGAAAAATACTGTGTCGTCGTCTTGCTCCAGCCATTTTTACAAATACGAAAATTATAATTATTTTAACCGGAATTAAAAAAAAAATTAAAACAGGAAAAATTTTCAATCAATTGGAGAGTAGCTAATGTTACGCCAATATTTAAGAATGGAAATACAACTGAACCGATCATCTACACACCCGTATCACCAACATTTATACTATGCAAAGTTATGAAAGCATTTTAATGAAAATCAAGTTTAATAAAAATCGCCACCTAAATTAACTGAAGATCTCCTTCTTCATTTTTAAAAATAAATTTAGCGTTGTGTAATATATGGACTATCCCTTGGCGTTTTATAGTCTAACGTTTTTAATGGCCTAAGATCTTCCCAGAGGGAAAAAAGACGTCGAAAAGACGTCTTTAAAAGTCTTAATTCTTCGTCTTTAAGACGTCTTTTTTAAATCGATTAGGCAAATCTAAAAGACATCTTTTTTCGACATCGAAAATACATCTTTTTTGTCTTTATCTTGACGTCTTTTTTTATCAATTGCACACTTTTAAAAAAGTTTTTTTGCTCGACTTTTTTGTCATACTTATTAGTATACTATAGTATCCTATACACTATAGTATTCTTACTTTTCATATATGAAAAGCTGTTGTTATCAAATGAAAATGATAATAGCTCTTCATAAAAAAGTATGACAGAAAGCTCTTTCCGATGCCGAGAAAAAAACCTTTTTTAGATGTCAATATAAACGAAGAAGCATTTTCTACATCTTTTATATGTTTAAATATAGGAGAATAATTTATAAATAAAACAACAGTATTGTTCAACAGAATATTTTTTCATCTTTCTCTTTCTTTTCTGTTTATTAAGCGAGCTCTGTTTCTTGGAGTTGTTGAATAAAATTAACTATTTCACATCGAGAAATCCGTTCATACGAGCTGGTTACGACTTCTAAATAACGAGTGAACATAAAAAACAGTTTATTGCTTGAATGTAATATAAAAAAGCAAATGAAACTTGATTAGCTGAGTGGAACACATTAGACTTACCGACTACTAATTCAAAAAGGACTGATCCTTTTAACCCCCTCATTTTTCTAGCTCGGTCCTTTTCTTTTTGAACATACTAGGTTAGATTGGGACAGGAGTCAAACGGTAAACAGTCTAAAAATATATAAAAATGAGTGTGTTAAAGAAATTTACTACCATCAAAATGACTTTACAACGATGTATTTTATTATGTAGTACTTAAACCAAGCTAAATATTTGCGCCTCTCAGATTTGCTATAAAAGCCAGGTTATTGAAAACAGATATTGATATTTTTCTGTCTTTTTCAGCAGGCTATTTGACGTTCGGTGAGTATGATATCATCATGCTCACCTAACTCAGCAGTATAAGATATATACATATATATTATGTATATATACATAATATATTACTTTATTACATAAGTTTTAAAATAAGTCCGCTTACTGAAAATAGTTGATTTTGAATTAAATTTCCTATGCAAAAACGTTTCACATAATATAAGTATTTTGTAAACAAAAAAGGGGCCAATCAGAACGTAACGAAGATATCGTAATTACGATACTGTGGGTTAAAACCCATCTATGTTAGGTTCTATTGCCAATAATTATTTTCAATTTTCTTAAGCAAATAATGATTTCTTTATTAACAACAAAAATTGTTAATAAGCAAATAATAATTTGTTTATTATAATTATAATAAACAACCTATGATTTGCTTAATTAACAACTTAAGCTGTTTCCCAGTGGGAAACGTTAGTGAATTTTCCCCTCCCCCTCCCTAAAGAAAAAAAATTTCTACTGGGTGTTGTTTAATTTAACATTTAAATGAAAATTTTCTCATTTCAAAGGTCATCGATATAAAAGACGTCTTTTCTACGTCTTATTAAAGACGTACGACCGATAGACGTCTTTTCGACCTCTTTTTTGAAGACGTCTTTTTTGAGGTAAGGTCTTTAATCCCTGAAGCGACACCGATGAGAGCGCACTAAACCACTGAGCTATCAATGATATGCGTTTAGGAGAAAAACAAACCTAATTATTAACCTCTTATAAGCTCTAGATATGCTGAAAGGGAGCGCATGTTAATTTTTTTGCTTTTAATTTTTTAAAAATAAATTATTTTACGTAAAAATATTGAAGTAAACAAATCATAGGTATAAAAATGATTGGTGTGGAATAGATAAGTATAGAAATGTTAGGTTTGGTAAAGACCCGTACTTTATGTAGACACCAGATAATCGGTATCGTATAAGTCGATAACGAGAAGAATGGTCTCGTATTGCGTAGTATCGCTTATATACTAATGTATATACTTCGGACTCACTGGCCATCACATTAACCGCTTGGCCAAAATACAATATAGTGTAAAGTTGTTATATAAAAAACTAATTCTGCGGGTAATGAACTCAAGATTATATACCGGCATTGTGAAGATTAGTTTTCTTTAATAACTAAAGTATACTTATGTTTAGTTGTTTAAAACTAAAGTTTAGTTGTTGAATGTTGAACACAGAACGAAAAACCAGGCGAGACTTACGATACCACGAGAGATTTAATGAAAGTAACGATACCAGATGAGAAATTAAAATATGGATGCGATATCACAGAGTTAATTAAATTTAAATTACTTTAATGACTGTTACGAAATCAATTCCCTTTGAACAATAATTTTTCATAGTCTTGAAACATCACAAGCAATTCCCTTTGGAGAATTATATGAAAAACTCTCCTTAATGATTGCAAAACTATTCCCTTTAATTAATTTTAATTCCGATTAATTCTGCACAGAAATTTTTTTGCCTGAATGGAATAAAAATTCAAATCAATTTAAGTCAGAATAACGATATGAGAAACTGCACACAGTAGGGGCGGATCCAGGTCATAGTTCTAGGGGGTAGTCCGACAAAAAAAAAGTTTTTTAAAAAAAAAAAAAAAAAAACAGTTTCATTTGAATGTTTAGAATGATTTTAGAAAGGTTATAAGATAGTTTGCTAATAAATATATTGAATGATTATATAAATCTTTTTTTTTGTTGAGAAAAATAATAAAATATTGAATTACAGCTTTTTGTATTTTTTCTTATTTTTTTAATTTTATCAATAACACTTTGAAGTTTGACATTTCCTAGGTAGGGGGAGGGTAGTACCCCGAATAACACCCCTCTTTCCTTTTTGTCCGCCCCTTACCCACTGTTTAACATAATTTAATTATTTGTTATAATTTAGTACAGAAATAAATATTTTCTTTCCTTTTAATCACGATAGAAAAAATTGAACTTTGCAAAAATTTTCCTGATCCTATATACTGTACAAAAGAATACCAATGAGGGTAACTTTTGATACTAGTACCGAGTGATCTCGATATCGATACTGTAAGGTATCGTATCGAGACCAAACGATACCAACATAACCGATACTTTCGATACCAGTATCGCGTGATCTCGATGTCGATACTGTGAAGTATCGCATTGAAACTAAATGATACCAACATAACTGATATTTTGGATATCAGTATCGCGTAATGTCGATGTAGATACTGTAAAGTATTGCATCGAGACCAAACGATACCAACAATAACGATACTTTCGATACCAGTATTGCGTGATTTCGATACCGATACTGCATGGTATCGCACCGATACCAGACGAGAAATCGAGACTTGAGACCGATTATCTAGTGTGTAATTTTATGGGTCTGGAAAGCTAGGATATATTTATAAGGAAAAAGTATAGAAAAGGTCAGTGTGAAATAGATTTACTAAGACCCGTATTTTTACGGGTAAGATCAGCTTGTATATAATAATTTACCTACATAAATCTTATTTGAATCGCGAGAAAACATTTTACATTTTGAAGCTAATTGATTTAAAATGCATATGTATTTTAAATCAATTAGCTTTTAATATAAAGTTATTAAAAATATTTCTTTTAGAGTTGACAGTGCATTAACACATTCTTGCTACTGCGGCGAAGTGGTTAGAATAAGTGGTTTATATTTGCGATAATGGCAAGGAAGGAGGTGCAAACTTTCAAGTTAAATGATTTTCCGTGTGCTCTGTGATAAAACCGTTAGGTCTTCTTTAAGCACATTAATAACAAAGTATAAATTAAAAAAAAGTAGCTACGTAGCTTTTATTTTATATAAAGTAAAGCGGGATATTTTAAAACTCTTCTTTGACGACAACAAAGTGGGTTTTGCTAATTGAAATTATTTTCAGAAAGATCAACAAAAATTATTTAAAAACAAACATTTTTTATTAAACTTTGATACCAACTAAAAAGAGAAAATTTTTACCACCATTGCCACACACCTGATTTTACAAGATTAAAAAGAAAGCATAAAGAAATATCTCTAGATAAACAAGTCAGTGACTAGTTGTTGAAAATGCACTCACTTCTATACAGATTTTTATAAAGTTGTTTATTTAAAAAGAATCAAGTTTTTTTAAATAAAAACAGTTTAGTAAAAAAATAATCAAAATAAAAAAATAAAAATCAATAAAAAAATAACTAAGAAATGTCTAATATATTAATTTAAATTGTAAATTATATTCGTAATTTATTTCAAAATTATAATACTATTCACTGTAAATTAAAGCTAAAAAAAAAAAAAAATCGGTTTAAATGTGGCATAAAAGCTAAAAATATTTACTAAAATTCTTATTTACCATGGTTTTTTTAAACAAACATCCTCAGTATCCCTCGAAACTTGAAAGGTAAAAACGTAAAAATAATAACTTGACTTGATATAATAACTTGAAAAATAATAACTGACCACTGCATAAAAATAAAACTTATTTTTTTAACATCGTCAAAAATGTCAATTGTTAGCCAATCACTTATTTGACTAACAATTAAGTACGTTAGTTCAGACAAGAATATCTAAAAAATGTTAATTTTACAATTTATATATTTCGTTAATATCTCGACGTCAAATATCTACAACTATATTATAGGTTAACAATAATTTAAAACATTCAAGCAGACTTCATGTTTCGGATAATTTCATTGGTGTACTCAGAACACGAAGACTTACCTCCTAAATCACGAGTTGTTACCTTAAAAAACAATTATGTACATCAGTAAATTATATCATTTATCATAAAATACAAAGTCAAAAAAAAAATTACAAAATACGGTGCATTATCGCTTAAGAGACAAACACTGTAGTTGCTGTAGCAACC